GGTGCTAGAAAGAAATGGGGCGCTGAGGCAAAGCTAGAGAACAAAAGAGTGATTTGTGAGGTGAAGGAGCAAGGAGGAGAGAGGGTAGGTGTAAGATCACTTAGTTGTTCTTTCTGAAGCTCAACTCAGCTCACTGAACATATATCCCTGCTCTTGCTGCTCTGGTACGTACATACAACTAATTCATTTTCTTTTATCTAAGATTTTAAAGTACCTCTGAGAAAGACCGGGATATACAAATCAAATTAGAATCACAATAGGTTGGGAACTGATCCAAAGACTTAATATAAGACCTAAATAATAGAAAGCAAAAATAGCAGAAAACTGAGGTAGTTTGCATTTGTATGTCTTATGAATAAAACTACAATAATGACATCATCTCTTGTTCTTTAAAAGAATAGAGCTGTTAACATTTTGACTTGAAGAAGTAGAGAATGGTCTTTCAAAATAGTATGCCTACGTGACCCACAGACCTTGGGTCTTCTCTTAGGACGGTACCTATTTTCCCCACTTCCACCTGTCCCATAACACAGATTCTAAAGGGAGACTAAATGGAATTACAAGTACACACATACACACGCACACCCACATCCACATTCTTATGTAGCTTTCAGGATTTTGTTTATATGGAGAAACTCCAGTGTCTTGATTCCACTTTCATACCCCTTAACTCAGGTTCTTTGCATTTTATATAAGTTCTTTAAATATAAGTGACTAATCAGGGAGTCTTGGTCAAGGGGTCTCAAATGTGAGGGCTTTCAGGGGTCAGACATGGTCTAACTCTAAGAAGAATGTAGGAAACTGCAGCATTTTTGCCATATACAAAAGCATTCTAATTTTACCTCTTCTAAAGACTGTCCTTGCTAAACAAAACACACCTATAGACCTAATTTGAGACTTTGGATTAAATTAACTGTCTTGATCAATTGTCTGCCATATTTAAAAGGAAATGTCTAAGTTGAAAGATTTAACATAAGGAGATCTTTAATAAATCATTTGAGTATATAATTGTGTGTGTTTTGTATTAGGAACTCAGAACGAATCTGCATAGCTAGTAGGAAAGAGGAGAAATATGTCAATCATGTTTATTTATCTAGTCAAAAGCAAACAATGAGACTAAATGATCTTTTGGACAAAATTGACAGGTTATTGAACCAAATTGATAGGTTGCTTGTGTCTAAATGATCCAATAGTTACACAAATAAATCCATGCTTAAAGACAGATCTTTTCCAACTTTTCATTCAGGTATTTGGTCAGCGTCTGGTGAAGCTCCCAAATTATACAGAATTAACTACCTCTTAACAATCAGATAAAATCCTCCTCAATATGTAAATGTTTGACATGCTCTTCTTTCCTAGGGATGAGATTATGTTTGTGATGGACTAGGCAATGAAGAAAAGAGTTTTTGATCTCAAGAGACCAAGATTTTGTGAACTCAAATATTCTATCTGACCTATACATTTTAAAAAGCAGTGGGCAAAAACTTATCTTAGATTCTCAATTTCAAATCTGAAAAGTCAGTAAACTTATGGTTCAGATGAAAGTTTCAGTGGCATATAACCTGTGTTGATTTTCAGGTGTTAAAAGCAGTAGGAATATATATCATCTTGATACTAACTCAAGCTACTGAATTTAAGAGGTCATTGACCAGATACCTGATTTAAGAGATTCCATGTTTACAGATGTACGTGTCCTTCTCTTCTGCAGGGAAACAGCCTTTAAAGCCAAGAGATATCAAGTGATAACACTCCATAAACCAATATTCTTAATAGACTAATCTGATTGTCAATCAGCTTTTGCACCTATTTGAAGAAACGTTTGACATTTTGCCTATATTCATTTACCAAGGGTCTAAAAATAGATTTAATTTAATAACATTAGTGTTCAACTTGTCCAATGTTCGGATCTTTTTCCAGAGGGAACAATGCTTGTAGCAATGGTAAAATTAGGAAAGTTGTTTTGTGTCGCATTAGTTAACATATGCAAGCTTACTTAACATGTGGATGGCAAATAAGTGTAATTACATTAAAACAAGGAGCCGTAGCACAGAAGCAATAAAAATAGACTAGGTTGTATTATTAATTCTTGTGTTAAGGGTTTTGAGCCATGTTGATTGGCCTGAATTTTTTGATTTTGTTATGGTACAAAGGGATTGTTTGAAGTAATTTGTCCCCGAGAGAGGCTCACAATCCCAAGCGGGTTTCAATTCAGCAAAGCAAATCTAATTTTGTTTGCTTTATGCAAACCAGAAGGGGCTGTGGTTCATTCTGTTTTCACTGGAGGGGAAAGGCGCACTAATGGGACCTGCTGAAATGCATGCATTGCAAACATCATACCCCTGCATATATTAAATTTAGCTATGTGATGCACTGTGTTCATCATCTCATTGTGTACACAGATACGCTTTAGAACAAAGCCTTTTAATAGCAAGGGAACCTTACTACATTATGTCAATACTCTATTGTATTTATATTTAATGCCGCCATTGGAATACCTGCCCTTAGCTAGAGTATGTTCATATTTGTGATCATTTTGCATTTCAGCTACTCCTTGTATGCAAGTGAGTTATACACTGAGGCTATTATGCTGGAGCTTAAAGCCAACATCTGAAGATTAATTATATGTAGATCGATAAAGGTTTCTAATTTTCCCAGTCTCCACCCCCACACATATACCCCTTGTATACCCGAATTCAATTAGAGAGAGGCTTAGTACCTTATTGAGAATAAAGACTAGAACACATCCCCATCTGAATAGTCAGGCTGGAAGATAGATGGAGGATAATAACATCTGCACAACAGGTAATGCTAAAGATGGTCTCCATCTCTGTGACAAATCATCATCCTCCTACCTGCCCCCTTCCGCCAACTCACTATGGTCTTTCCTTGACTTGCCAGGTACAGCTATGCTGCCAGATACATTTGATCAAATTCATCAAAATTTAGAGGGTACATGAGATTGGAAGGGAAACCAGTACATGATAGATGATAATGCAGTTACTGGCTAGGTGAATTTATTCCATAAAAAATGGAATTATTTGTCAATTAAAATTGCATAATGACTGCATCTCCTGTCATGCCAGCACTGTTTTCAGTGTGTTTTTGTTTTGAAAACAGTTCCAATCCTGCAAATAGACAGACACATCTCCAAACCCTTCAATTTGTCATTAGACATTTGGCGGCATGCCTACTTTCCTGTTAATTTTCCAAAACTACATTAATTTGCTGAATGACTTCTGTGAATCAGTTCACACAAAATTCAAGATGATACTTGTCATCTATCAAAGAGTGACTATTAAAAGCATAGGTTCCATGTAAAAACACACTGTGTGAATCAGTTTGAATTTTGTGTTTTAAGTTCAAACATGGGTTAGCATTAATGATTATTTTTCTTTCCTAATGGAAGTTGCTTAATGAAACATTACAAGGATAATCTTCCTATTGGTTTTTTTCTGCTTCTGCTTATCTGTTTCTTCAATTTACTAGTGTATACAGTCTTAATTTGACTTGATTTGGAACACAAGAGACACCCCAGGCAGTGGAAATTCTATGGTGTAGCCAAAAATAATTGTTTAATGTTGTGACTTAAGGGATTTGATCCTCAAGGTATACTGTGTCTGACAGTGGTGCAATTTAAACATTGAGAGATTACCATGTGCACAGAACCAAATAGCAAGATCACATGATATTCTTAAAGGAATTTACTTGCTGACAAAGAGGGCACTTGATTGAGGAATGTTATAATATTGCTGGCCTCCTGTAGCACAAATCATGAAATAGTAGGACTGTAGCTATTAGAAATACTGATTTGTTTATATATGTACTTTCTTGGTTTACAAAATGTGTTTACTCTTAAGAAAAATGCTGCCTTGGTCCTGACATACAAGGAGTTCTGACCAGATATTCCAGGTCAAAGCACATTTTTTATTTGAATATATATATTCAAATATATATATAAAAAATTTCTATTTGAATACATATATCCTGTATGTATGTGTATAGTATACTATACCATATACGTATATATAGTATGTATATATATGTATGTATAGTATATATGTGTGTGTGTGTATTATACCACACTCCTGGACATAATATGACATATTTTTATTATAAATATTTAAATAAATTATAAATTACTATAATTTAATGGGCTTAATGCAGCCATAGAGGTTGAATTAGGGAGAAAATAATTATAGAACTCCTAGTGAGTTCAGATCTACTACAAATACCATAAGAAATTATGTCACTTTTAGCTTTAAGCCTAGAGAGGTATATGTGGCATAAAAGCCCCAATACGGAAGGATACCTAATTCATTATCACTCATCAACTCTGCCTCTACATCTTCCAACCTCGGTCACCTTTTCCTAGTCCACCTCATCAGTCTGACAAGAATTGGAAGCTTGGAAAGGGTGAGAAGAATGAGAAAACTGGTGGTTACAGGCCCACTGCTGTGCTACACTGATGTTCAGTTACTGCCAATTCAGGCTAAACTTATACCACATCAAGCAAGATTGACAAAATATTATACTTGGTGAGAATGAATGTAAAATTTTCCTAATGAACAAACGTGTCCTAATAATAAATATCTTCCTGGATTGAGCTTCGCTGTTCAAAAAGCAGTTGGAGATGTCAGATTGCAGGAAGTTACTCTCATTCCTCAGTTGGGTCTTTTGGAAGGCAGCACAACATGCAAACTGTCCTGGTGCACCAGAAGTCCTGCACAGACGTGTCTCCTTAACCTTGAAGTATTGAAGGCAGTCCCTGCTCAAATTCCTGTTCAGCTCAGCAGCCTAAGTTTGTGTGAGAAGATAGTCTGTTCTCAAGGAGCTTCTACCCAGTGGTGTGCTGATAAATGTTTAATAATCAGCTCTCTGGAAAACAAAAACAAAAAAGCAATAACTGATTTGTAGTGTGAGTCATTTCCAAGCTACCAATGTGTCAGTGTGATGAGGAAAGGGGAACAAACACGAAGTATCACACCATTCAATATTATTTCCACCATATAGACACAACAGACACAAATAACCTCAAGAACACAGACCATAGTAAAACGTAGTAAAATAAGAAGTAAAAAGTTTGGATTATCTTTCTTTTTCATATAACTTATTGAATTTTAGGTTTATATACTTCTATATTAATTTTTAATAATAACCGTGCATAATAAAAACTTGCAAAATCCTGAAAATTTAACAATCGGCTCTTATGAGTTAGTGCAAGGCGGTGCCACAGACTACCGCCTCCATCCCATCTCAGCACACCCACCGCACGATTAGCTTCCTGGTTCATTAACATCGATCCAGAGTTATGCCTCATCAAATGGGAAAATATTTGTCCTGGCAATAAGCAAAATAACTTCTTGTTGATCAATTGCTCCTGATATAGTTGTGTAGCGCTGTCTCCACCTGTATTTTCAGTGGTGCATTCTTTTTTCTTGCCATCAGAGTCCCTAGTTGGACCTTTATTTTATTCAACTGCATGGGGGACGTGGCCTGTGTCTGCATTCCTTTGTCTAAGAATAGTGATTCTGCACTCGCACATAAAGAAGAGGAGAAAGAGAGCTACTATACAATGGTGGGGGGTGCTATGAAATTTTACTGACACGAGTCTGGGAAGACTGCCTGATCTGTATTTGGAACAATGCTATTTTGTTTAATTTGATATATGTGTGGGCTTTTTATTCAAATAGAGTTGAACAGTTTGTTCCAGCGGGAGAAAAAGGGCTGCTTGTTACAGAAAGGTTATTTATCGTTCACTATAACACTTGGCATTCTGAAGAAAATTGTGAGGATTCTCCTTTTGGGGGCCTTATGCTGCTGTCCTAGCCTCTGTACAAAGAGATAAAACAAAAGTTGGAGGAAAGATCTTTGGAGGCGGATTCAGGGCAGTGTTTTAGATGCCCTCAAATGAAGGTGCTTCTCGGCCTCTAAAAATATTCACTGACCCATTCCATCATTCATTTTTGCTGCTAATTGGGCATTTTAAAGTATGAATTCCCACCGCTTCGAAAGAGTCAATGCCAACATCAATTAACACCTTCTGGGGGAAGAGTTTATGGAAGAACTGCTAAAGAAATCTTAGCAGTGTAAGCACAATTGAACTTTGCTATCCCAGGCAATATTTTTATTCAACATTACTCTAAGTGCTCATTTTTACACCGTAATTGCAACTCTTTCTCTTGTTTATTTCCTTGATCTCAACACAACGACTGTCCATTTGAACTCAATTCAACTTTAGCTCATTTATAATCAATTTCAAGTTAAGGTCTACAGATGACCACACAGGTGACCCTCACCTTAGGAAATAAATATATTCTATAGAAATCAGATGCTACCAACTCTTCCACAATCACTAAAAGTGAAAAAAAAATCCAATTATATGGAAAGAATGTAACAGCATGTCATTTATGTTTCTATTTATTCAACAAAGATTCACTAACTATATGCTATTTGGGGACATGATGCTACGTGTGTAAATACTAAAAAATAATCTTGCCTATTCAAAAATTTTAAATAGATCCTAATGCAGGTAGAGTCAAATCAAAATTCTTCCTCAGCTTTCCACTGGTGGCCCATTAAGCCTTCTCCTGGGTCCCCGGTAAACAGTCCTCAGATTGAACTGTACTCTCCCTTTCCTCCATGAGCTCACCCCCACTTCCATTAAGGCAGATATGATATGTGCAGGTTCAACCACAATATCAGGATAATATATTATTCCTGCCAAATAGAAAATTCAGCCTTAAAAAAACAGAGAATCACTTCATCTAGGGCAAAAAATCATCAGAGTAACTCACTGGGGAGGGGGGCATTTAAATTGGACCTCAAAGAATGGTTAGAACTGAAATATGCATAGATGGTTAAAACTTAAATTCTTTAGCATAATTTAGTAGAAGTTATTATTGAACAGACTTGGGTATTTTTTTTTTCAGTTAAACTATAATCCTAAATTATATGAGCTATACAGAATAACACTAAACATAACACACATAGTCACTTTGGTGTCTGTTAATTCTTTCTTCCTGGCACACAGACTCTGAAAGCACTTGGTGATAGAGGTTTCTGGCAGGAGGGAAGCTTTGAGCCAGGTCATATGAATGAAGGAGAAGAGAAAGCACCCAAGTGTTGTAAAAAGCATGAGCAAAGCAGGAGGAGATGTAAAGTCATCTTCTAGGAAGGAGGTGCAGATGAGCTGGGGAGAAGCAGAGGGGCCCTTCGCCATAATAAATAATGAGGTACCATTTATTGAACAACTATCATGTGCTAGGCCTGGTGATCACTACTGTACATGCCTATTTCTATCTTCAAAAAAACCTGGCAAGGCAGATGTTTAGGGGGAAACTGAGGATCCAATAACTATACCACAAACCCAATGTCAGGCTGTTGGGTTTGGAAGGGTCAGAGAATGGAGAACTTTAAATAGAATTACCAGGAGTTTGAATTTAATTTTATGGGAGAGACACAAGGGAAACAGCTTCCAAGAAGCCAGGAAACAGAGAGAAAGGCTTCAATGCTTTGGTTGGGCGGTCCCTAAGGTGGCCTGGGTTTGAGTGAAAAATGCCTGATTGTTGGTGTTGGCTGTGGAATTGGAAAGGAAGAATGATTCTAAGAGGAACTTGAGAGAAGACAATAAAACAACTTGACAACAGAATTTAAGAGCTAACAGAATAATAGGCAAACACAGAAGGATAGAATAAAAGGTTTATCACGTGTACATGATGTGAGATGTATTTATTCTAACTATAAAATGTATTGAAAGTCTTGCATATTAAGTGATTATAATGAATTTGACCATTGTCAAGTTAAATATCATTTCTCTTCCGACATTATTAAAATTTTCAGTTGTCTGGAAACAGCCAACCCTTCTATCCTATTACTGGATTCTTTTATCCCAAGAACTTATAATGAATTGTAAGTAGGGCCAATAATTATGATCCGCAAAAAGGGAAACAAACTGAATAGATTCCTTTGGCAGGAACTCATGCTATATGGCTTTGACAGCTTGTGGAGTCTTCTGGAGCTCTTTGGCCAAGAAGAAGGGCATGTGCCGGACAAATGGGACTGTGTTCCAAGCACAGCTCACACAAGACGTCTGAAAAGAGCAGACAAAGGAGACCAGGGAGGAAAGTAGAGGAAACAGCAGGGAACATAGCAATAGGGAAGGTCAGGGCATATAGAACCTGGGAGGAGGGGGATGCAGTTGATGTGATGAAAGAGACTCCTGGAACACTTGGAGCAGCACAGAGGATACGAGCTTAAAAGTGCTTCAATTCTATGCTCCATGCGGGAATGTCACAAAGGGAATGAATGAGCAAAGATAAATGGTGGTCAGGAAACAGCGCTGGACCACGGTGTTCACAATGGTGACAGCGAGGTGTCTTTCATCTATGTATGAATGCGTCTTTCGTACAGCAACACTTATCTAAGGGTCTTACAAAACATTTACACACATTCTGGCCAGCAGTCACTCTCACAGCATCCTTAAAGAGTAAGCGAGTGATGGAGAGACAATTACTGTCTACGGCAGGTGTTCTTGTACGTCCAGGATCACCTTCGGGATGCCAGGTTCCGTTGCTTCTGTTTCAGAGCTTCATTCACCAAATGTGAGGTCACTCTTACAGGAAACACATAGGCCCTTTAAAGTTCCAAAGATCAGTTAGGTGGTGCTAATAACATCATTCAGATCCTTTGTCCTCCATCCAGGAACATGTTCTCTATAACTTCAAAGACTATATGGAAAAGATGTACAAAGTCAAGAAAAGATGTACAAAGTCAGTTGAGAGGAAGCAACTTTGAAATTACAAGGTCCAGAAATTTTATAGCATCTTCATCTTGATGACGTTGAACTATGAGAAATAGTCTTAAAATACATTTATGTGAAGTTAACTATGTGGTAGATTCTACTGTTAGTCCTGCAGGGCAGGGTCAGTGAAATGAACCGATTAAATTGTTAATCCTTCTGATTGATTCAAGAGTTGATGACACTATGCCTCACAAATGAGTTCAAAAGCATTTGGCTAGCCCAATCCATATATTGGGTAACAGAACCTGTTTCTTAAGTGCAGAGAGGGAAGACTGGCTATCATTTTACATGAATTATGAACATCATCATAGGAATTATTGTATAAAATCTTCTTCATGGACACACTTTCCTGAGACCAGCAACTTTTCCTTCTTTTTCCCTTCCTTCCTCCCTTCCTTCCCCCCTTCCTTTCTTTCTTCCTTCCTTCCTTCCTCCCTTTATTTCTTTCTCCCTTTCTGTCCCTCTCTCTCTTTTTCTCTCCCTTTCTCCCTCTCTCCCCCTTCTTTCTGAGATGACAAGTGAAGTCGTGTGCAGATTGTTACAAAAATTCCTCTTCACCTTTGTAGTGAGGGTATGGTGCCTATTTCATAGGGGAAAGCAGGGCTCACCCCTTTCAATGTGCTTAATTTTGCAGTAACTAGAACCGTGCCCACATGCCACTGTGCCACCGTCTGCCAAAGGAAATCCAATGTAATTGCCAATCAGTTCCCCCATAAATAAATCTTCTAAAACAATGAGTCATGCATGTAAATATTGCCCTTGCTGAGCATATTTATTGCGTGTTGATGTTGATTGTTTAAAAAGGGGTTATGGTTCAATACATTGAACACCTGAGCTGAGCGCTTGTAGGATGAAATTGAGAGATGGCAGATCAATTTAGGCTCGCTTCTACTTTTCGATCTGTTTAATAGATTTTTAAAACGACACTTAGAGCCCTACAGAGGCAGCAGCCCTTCACATCCTCCCTCAGACACACCTCCCTCTGGTCCTCCCGTGCTCACTGCACTTGGAAAAGCTGATGATCCTATGAGCAGAAATTCGCAGGGCATGCTCTTGGCCTCCTGCTCTCTGCTGAACCAGGCTCATTTATCCGGCTGGTATTGCGAGTTTGGGGGCACGACAGTACATCTGACCCCTTTGGGGTAAAATTTGATCTGGCATTTCATTTCAAGGGCTCAGCCGCCAGTCTGTCAAATCTTCATTTTGCGGGTGCCTACTAGAAGTGCTGACGCTAGCCTCTAACTCCCCCAGGTTTCATCTTTCACTGGCAATAAACATGTCACCCTGCTGAGGTGAAACACAATCTGGAATTAAATTTACTGCATATAAAATATAGTGCCCTCTTTATTGGTTCAAATACTTGTCACTCATAATTTATTTGCCAGTGTATGGCCTTCATGCAGAAAGAACACTATCAATGGGGAGGGGGCTTTGGTGTTCATTTTTGCTTGGGATCTTTTTCACTTTTCATTCTTTCCCATCCTTGGTCCTCAAATCCTACTTACCCGCTTGGCCTAATCTGTTTTCCATGAAACACCTCAAATAAAACCAGAGTCCTTTGCCCAAGTGAGGGAAGCATGTCGCTGAAAACATTGGCGTTGGGCTTCTTGGCTGAGTTGCTGCATGTTTGCTAGGAAGAGTCGAGAGCGTGGCACCTGGTAACGCTCTCCAGTGAGCAAAACCGAAATACAAATGTGTGGGAAACTGGAGGGGGGTGGATTTAGCTCTCGTCAGTTTCATTCTCCCACTTGCCATGCCTTTCCTTCTGGCACTCAACTTTTTTATGATTTATTCCAAATACTGTCGATCAGCTTTAACTAATACAGTTCTTGTATGAAGCACCTCTCTAATCTCTTCAAACACAGATGTGGAAGCACGGCTTAGAGCATGGAGGCCAACAAAAGCCCTCTGCCTGTACCAGTGATTAGCTTTGATTGACACAGAACCCTTCTGCTTTCCTAGGCATCCTCTAACACCCATAAATGATTGTTTTAAAATGAGACACACAGGGTATGGTGGGCATCAGCTTTAGTCAATTTGCAGTGCAACTATATTAGCAGATAACTCATAAACTACAAAACACTAAATACTAGAAGTTGGATCCCCCTCCCCCCGCATTGCTATTTCTTTTTATTTCTTTTAGGTCTGTTCCTTTATAGAAAAGGTTTTAGTAAACATTAATTTCTCATTTAGAATTGTTGAAATGCACATAGATGCCTACTTCATCTTAACACCTATTTTCAACATCATATTGTCCCAGATTTTAAAAATTTACAGCAGAAGTGTTGGGACTTTTATTCGTTTTCAAATTATTTTTAAAAATGAGTTCACAATTTGAATTTAACCCTCAAATAGTAGTAAGGATCACCAGAAATGAGTAGATGTCGGTAACACAAATCCAGATTCCCATAGACTATACAAATTACTTAAAAAATTTATCAATTGCGATGAAAGATATTATATTTTTACTTTTATTAATTCTCGTCTCATTTTGGGTAGTGAAGCCTGGGAAACTTCCCGACTTGCCCTCGTTGTTGGGGGCTGTCTCCCAGGGTGACAATGGGTAATTCATTCTCCTTGGTAAGAAGAATGTCCTCTGCAGGTAGAAGCACTTCGGATTCTTCTAGTAATTCCCTACTGCCTCAAGGACGGCCATGAGAGTTTGTGCTAAATCCCCAGAGATTGCCTTGGATTATCTCAGATCCCAAATGCCTGGATTTAAAGTTTTCCCGAGTTTTAAAGATGTCATTTCTGTCTTCCCACTCCCAGAAAACATAGTCACTTTATGACTAGCCATGGATACGAAATGAATCTCTCTGTCTGCTTTTTCTGAGCAGCAGCATAAGTGAAGAGAAAGATTAAGAATAGGAATTCTTGCTCCACCCAGCTATGAAATGCCTAATTTTATTTGCATCTGCACACGTATGCAGTTAGATGTTTTATTCATTACTTACACACTAACTTCCAAAAGAAACTTGTGAAAAGCAAAAAAAAACAAATAACACTATATTTTAGTTTTCATTTCAAGATTTCAAAATCATCTATTAAGTTTAATATTGACTTTCCAAATATTTTCCAAAACATTTTTAAAATGTGTTCTCTATGAAGAAGCAGAATAAATAAAAGGAGCACATTAATGTTTTAGAAAGTATCTCACCTCCTAAATAGCTTTAGGATTATAAAATCAGAGTGAAAAAATAATTTGTCTCACCTATACTTTTTATTTTAAGGCTGAGGAAACTTAGACTAGATAGTTCAAGTGACTTGCCCAAGATCAGCCAGTCAGTGTATGGAAGAGTAAATAATAAAACCCAGTTTTTGTCTCTATTTCTTTTAAATTAAGAACTTTTAGGGCCCGCCCCATGGCTTAGTGGTTAAGTGCACGCGCTCCACTGCTGGTGGCCCGGGTTCGGATCCCGGGTGCGCACCGATGCACCGCTTCTCCGGCCATGCTGAGGTCACGTCCCACATACAGCAACTAGAAGGATGTGCAGCTATGACATACAACTATCTACTGGGGCTTTGGGGGGGAAAATAAATAAATAAATAAAATCTTTAAAAAAAGAACTTTTAAAGTCTGAAGCCTCAATTATTATTATAAGAAATTCCATAGACGTTGAGTCCATTGTGCTTGACAGAGTGCTACTTCCGCCACATGCACCATTCCCTGACAACCTGCTGTGTTACTACTTCCTTCACATGACAAAATGAGGCCCAGAGAGAAAAAATGACTGACCAGAATTCACACAAAGTCTAAGTGGCAGAACCCAGTTTTGAGCCAGGTCTGCTGACTCAGAATCTAGGGCTCTGTGAATGGCACAAGGCTGCTGAAAAGGAATGCCATGCCCATCTCAAGGAATAGCAACATAAAGACTAATTGCACCAAGTGGGAATCTAATTGTTTTGTTCATTCTCCAATTGTTCCCCTGATATGCCAGAGCTTTCCTATAGTTCTTTGCTTTATCTTAACCATTCGCCAAGTGAGCATCTATATACATCATTATTTGAATTTTCTAATGCTCTTTGACATCTTTGAGAGAAAAAAAAGTTCAAGCTATTTTTTCTATTAACATTTATAAAATTTCAATGGATATTTTAAAATGTCTGATTATCACTCAGATAATCAGATAATGTAAGATTATATGTGATCAGTAAAATAATCAGTTATCCACAGCAGTTGTCATAATAATTCTATTTTCAAGTGATACTGCAAATTTTTGCTTTTATTTTGAAGTATTTTTGTTGTGTTGTATTGTGTTTGCTTTCTTTTGCTTTTACTTAGAATTTTACTTTACAGTTTTATTGAAATGTAAAATTCACCACATAAGCACCAATAAAATCAAATGTGAAAATACACGTTTTCTTTGAGATTTTGTTATGTGATTGTATCTGAGTATATTATTCCCAGTTGGCTATAATGAGAACTATTCTATATATACAAGTCCAACTTCTATTTGAAACATAAAGTATACTATATTGTAAAACCTATTAAATGTATTCTTTAAAAGGGCTATTATTTCTCTTACTATTGTACACGACGTACATTTACGTTCCCTAAACTTTAAAACACTTTAGGCCAGAATAGGAAGTAGAGGTTTCAGAATGACTAGCAGATGTGTGTTGCATAAATGCATTTGTGTGGATGGTATAGCCCAGGCAGTGCAAAAAGAAATAGAAAACCAGTGGGCTGATGACTGAGCCCTTGGGAATCCCAGCATATAAGGAGGGAGAGGAGAAAGAGGATGCCATGATGGAGAGAGGACCATAGGCGTGAGTGGAAATTAAGAGAGGAAAGGGTTTTAGGTGAAGGGAGATGTCAACAGAGGCAAATACAGCCCTCAGGTTCAGCACGACAAGAATTGATAGTCATCTAATTTGGCAATAGTATAGTGAGGGTCATCTTGAATCTACCAGAGCCTCTCAGTGAAACTAAGAAGGTGGCATTGTGATGGCAGTGGGTTAAGGAGCGAACAAAAACTGAAGAAATGAAATAAATGTAGACATTTCCTTGGCTGGAGAAATATTACATAAATAAAACAAAGCTAGGATGGGATGCAGGATCAAAGGCATGATTATAAGTCTTTGAAAATGTGTTTTTAGAAAAAAACGTTTTTCTGTAAATAATACAGTAATATATGGTAACTGTGGAAAGTTTGGTGGCAGTGAAAAAGGATGAATAATAAAATCAAAGTAACCCAAAATCCCATGACTCAGAGATTACTACAGTGAAGTTTGGGTCTGTTTCTTTCCAGACTTTGTTCTATACAATTATTTGTGTGAAGTTGAGTTCATTCTATGTATATAGCTCTGTGTCCTTTTTCACTTACCCTATTATTGTATATGTATTGTTTTAGAATGTGTGAATTTACTGTATATTTTTAGCTTTAGTGTTAAGAAAATTTTAGTGAGGGATCATTGAAGGAACAAGAAAAAGAGATAAAGCGCTGGATTAATGTCCTGGAGGTGATGGAAGGAACAGGATGAGGGACACAGAAGGAAGAAAGAAAGAAATGTGCCAACATAGATACATTCATAGAGGCAGGAATCAGAGGTTGAATGAATTTGTGCACTTTCTAATGGCTGAGAGTAGAAACACTAGTGTTTAACTAAAGATCTTGACTATGAACAAGTAAACACATTGTCAGCTAAAACCCAGGGCCAAGCTGAGGCTGAAAACCAGGAAATTGTAATGTGAGCAATCCTCATGGTGGTGACATTCCCTCAGGTGCTCTCAGAAGACTGGGTTGGAGAAGAGACTGAAGTATTGAAAAATTTGGATAAATGGAATGATGAGGATGTAAAATATTAAATTCTAAAAACAGGATACAAAAAATGATCAACAAGGATTCCAGGATACCTAGAGAAGAAAAGGAAAGAAAGTGGAGGACTCAAAGGCTGGGAAATTTCTATGAGGTTGAAGAAATCATGTAGCAGTAGTGAGAGATTAAAGAATGGGGATTATTATAATCAGAGTGGGATATTGGAGTTAAAGCTTTCTGAAGAGGAACAGAACTAGGTGGTAACAAAATCCAGGTATGGTTATGGGGGCAGAGGGCTCAAGACGAGAGAAGACTAAAAGATACTGGAGTACAACACCAAGAATGAACCCCAATGTAAACTATGGACTCTAGGTGATAGTGACGTGTTGGTGTAGGTTCATCAGTTGTAACAAATGTGCCACTCTGATGGGGAATATTGATAATGGGGGAAGTTATGCATATGAGGGGGCAGAAGGTATATGTGTAATCTCTGTACCCTCCTCTGAATTTGCTGAGAACCTAAAACTGCTCTAAAATAAAGTCTATTTTTTTAAAAAAAAAAGATACTGGAGAAAGGGAAATAAAAATACATAGTTTCTAGGCATCAGGAGTCATGGGCCTGGACACTGAATTTACTAGGATGTTAGATGGTCATAGGAAATAAAGGAAGACTGTGAGTAGAATGTCCAGTGAATGTGAAGTAGTGACTAAGAGTAGTTAGATGATATTGAAAAAGAAGGTGATAGAGTGAAGTGGCATGAACCTCAGTAAAGAAGGAGAGTTTGTATGACCTGGAAGCTGTCTTGGGCCCCAGGTGAAGGCAGACCCAACTGCCTGGTCCCAGGGAGGCCTCTCCTCATTCAAGTTCCTGGAAGGGCAGTATCCTAGATAAAAACTAAGGTTTAATTCAAGTCCAAATAAAACAAAGTATTCTACAGAAAAGGTAATGTTATAGGGTAGTTTGTTTTCCATGGAACAGAGACTCTAAAGGGAAAGTAGAAAGGAGTAGAGAGAGAAGACTGAAGAGAGGCTGAGTCTGGAGAAAGAAAGCACAAAGTAGGGTGGGAATGACAGTACATGGTCACTAGAGGGGCTTACATTTTGGGTGGTGGCCAAAGACAACTGAGGTGTGGGACATGGAACACTGGAATGGCTTCCAGGTTCCAAAAACATAACTCTCAAGTGTTAAATTGGACACACAAGAGCCTTTATTTCCTATACCCAGCCCATAGTAAGTTATTAATAAATGTCAAGTGAACGAGTGAATGAATGAATCAGGTTAATTTTAGAATTGAAAGTGATAATAAAACAGCTAGGTGGAGATTATACACCTAAGACTGCTGGAAATGTAAAATGAGATGCCAAAACAGTGATATTCTGGGAGGAGAGACATGCTTGCTGTTTTAAAAAATACTTAGAGCAAATGATTGAATGAATAATTGTTTTTTCCTATAATTTTCATCTTTGTAATTTTACTGTGAGTTACTTTCAAGTACATCAAGCTCTCCTTCCTTAAATTTTTTCAATATGCTTCTTCTACTCAATTTTATTATGTCTCCCCCTACTTATGTATCAAATAACTTTTCTTTACCCCTTCTTTTGTAACCCTGCTGAAACAAATCTGAAATTGACCACAGGGAACAGGCATTATTTTGTGCCTAAAATCAGCCTGACAACACA